GTCCGACAGCGGGAGGGTCAGAGGTCAGACAAATAAGTTTCCTTTTTGGAGAACGTCTCATCCTCTGGGCGGACACAACCTCTGATTCGTCGCACAAACGGCGTCCTGACAGTCCTCCACGCTGTGCTCTGAGCACCGGCGCTCTCTGCTGGATGAAAGCAGCAAATGCAAGTTCCTCCCACACGTCCTGCAGAATCACGTCAGAATCCATCCATCCATCATCTCTACACCTTAATCCTCACCAGGGTCATGGGGGGCGGAGTCTATCCCAGCTGACTCAGGGTGAAGGCAGGTTCACCTGGACAGGTAACCAGTCTATCACAGGGCTACACTTAGAGACAGACAACCAAGCACACTCACATTCACACCTACGGACAATTTACAATCACCAATTAACCTCAGCATGTTTGTGGACTGTGGGAGGAAGCCGGAGAACCCGGAGAGAACCCACGCTGCACGGGGAGAACATGGAGACTCCACGCAGGAAGATCCCGGGTGTCCTCACCGGGATGCCAACTGGCGACCTTCTAGCTGTGAGGCCACGGTGCTAACCACTGATCCACCTTCAGCCCTCACTACAGAATCTTGTTCAGAAACCTCAGCAGCTCAGACCATCAGTTTCTTGTGTTTTGCTCTCTGATGTTCAGTAAAAGCCGGTAAAGCTGCATCGAACCTCCTTCTGACACAGAAAACTGATCAAACGTGCTTCTGCAGAAGCAGATCTGGTGAGATCCGGGGTCGTGTGCTGCAGATCGGTTCCGCTCACAGCTGTTTAAACAGGAACGAATCCTGAATCTGGTCACTTCCTGTTCCTGTTTGGACACAAAAGCAGCTCTGATCTGATGTGAATAAAGTCTTTTCTTCTGCACACATGAACACACAGCAGCAGAAACAGCAACGACACACAGACAGGAAACATGTAAACAAGTGTTTTATTAAGCGTCGCTGATGTCGGGGCCCAAAAATCCAGGATTTAGAACAAAAAAATAAATAAAATCCAATAAATACAGTTTTAGTTCATGTTATTTGACACTTTTTCTCTCACAGCTTTACATTTCAGAGGGTGGTATTAGTTCATATTAGATTAGTATGAATAGAGTGAGGAATGAAATATTGAGACCAGGTTCAACAGTTTTGCATCAAAAGATAATTAGACGCCCGTTTAATTACGTCACCAGCAAGAAGACTAAATTTAGCTCAATGCACCAAATTCTCACTTTGGTCTTTCATTAGATCTCTAAAGTTCTTAAACTATTCTCTCTTTTTTCTTCTTCTCACAAATGTCGTCTGTAAAATATGTTACAGTGGATTTCTGTACAGTATTTACACAGCATCTGGATGCAGCGGTTCACAGTATGCAGTCACAGGTTCAGTCCTAAAATAGTACAAAAATGGAGAAATGCTTTGCTGTTAGTGATCACAGAGTGTGGCTGCAGTTCAAAACAGAACGTGGAAGTGACACGGCGGCAGACATCACAGCTCCTAAAGCAAAATAAAATAAATGAACTGTGTCTCCATGTAGCTGTGGAACAACCTTCAACTCTTCCATCTTCCATCAGAGGCAGAAATCCTCCCCTTTAAGCACATTTACTCTCTTCTGTCGATGTAATTACCATCAGAAATCCCTCCTGCCTCTGATGCTACATGTCTGGACTCTTCTCTCTCTGTAATGTTTAATCTCATTACTCATCGTAACTCACTTTGAAAGAAGTGTCGGCTTCAGCCAAAAACACGTCAATGAAATGATGAATGAGTCCAAACAGTTGTTCTTACAGCCGACCGCTAATAAGATTAGTGAGAAGTGATAAAGTCATCGTGGTCAGACTTTGTTTTTCTTCACCGTGCAGTTTAAGAGAAACACATGAAACGATGAAGCGCTCGTCTTCACCGCTGCTCGTTTCATTCAGAGGCATCATCACAGTGATCTGCTGAGAACTGGACAAGTTAGCTAACGGTTAACCCTCTGAACCACAAAACCTGCTGCCGGGATTTAGAAAAAACAACAAAACCAGCATTCATCAGAACCAAGAGACAGTCTTCATATTTTAAACTTTATAGTGTGACACGTCCGACAGCAAAATGGACCAAATCTACGCTTTAAGTTGTGGCATTTCTTTAAAATTACTTTGTTCTACATGTCTTATCAAAGAAATCACAAAAAATAAACCATCTGCTCCTGAATGTTTAAAAGAAAATGTCAAAAAACCTCAACCCTGCTGTCGACTAGAGGCCTCGACTCACTCATCTGACAGAAGTTCAACTACAGGACGACTGAGAGGACATGAAACACACAATGTGGGTCGTAGTCGGTGACCTGGAGACATAAACCTGCCGTATTCTCTCCTCCTCCTCCTCCTCTGCTACCATCATCAGGAAACAACAAGCTGCAGCACTGAAGATGAACGTTTTGCTTTGGATTCAGTCAGGAAGCCCTGCTGACCTCCCTGCAACAACACCTGAACACCTGAGCTGCATTAGCTCCGCCCACAACCACTGTGATTGGTTTAAAGAAATAAAAACAAACCAGAGTGGGTCTTTCTCCTCCTATAGCAGAATAATATCGTGGTGCAGTCAGACTGCTTTGTACTTTGGGCTGGCAAAGCAACACTACAGACATCTGGACTTCCTCAGTACCGACTGACCGACTGCACACGTCAGGTACCGATAACCCAGAGACCTCCAACTCCGGTCCACATGAGCTACTGTCCTGCAGGTTTTAAACGTTACTACCCGGAGAGAACCCACGCTGCACGGGGAGAACATGGAGACTCCACGCAGAAAGATCCCGGGTGTCCTCACCGAACCGGCGACCTTCTATCTGCGAGGCGACGGTGCTAACCACCGAGCCTCCTGCAGCCCAAACCTAAAGAGTGAAATATGTAAATATGTAAACGGTGAGCGCCGTCCAGTAACATCTGAGAGCGAGTGACATCATGTAGATTTTGTTTTCCACAGAGGACGTGATGCTGCTGTGAAAAACGAGCCCACAGTGAGGAAGAATGTGTGTTTCTGTGCTATGTGCTCGGCCAGAAGCAAAACAGGGAATCCACTGGCTGTCAGCTGACCTGCTGGCTTCCTGGTTACACAAACTGTATGGTTGTGTTTCTGTCCAAGCCGATCTCCTGTGGACGCGTTCCTCCCTCCCTTCTCTCAAAATGGCTTCTACCAGAGAGTTAAAAAAATAGAAGGAAATCAGACTTTTCATGTCCTTTAATGACACATTTGCGCAAAAATAACTAAAAACACCTTCAAACTGCGCGGAGGCCTCGGGAAACGCGGCGCCCTCGCTCGGCTCGGCTCGGTGGGACGTACATCCAGTAATGAGGTCAGCTCCCTAATGGACCGTCCTTCAAGCCGAGCCCACGTCTGTTCAAGCAGTCGCCGACGTTACACGGAGCGCCTGGTGGCTTCTACGCCGAGGCCTGTCTTCTGTTCATAATGTAGAAACTCTGCAGATCCTCTGAGTCAGATCCAGCAGATGACCTGAACCGAAGCAGGTGCTCTCAGTTCAAATAAAGCTACAAAAGATATGGTATTTTCTAGAGGCTCTGGATTAGTGAAAATAAAAGCTGCTTCGAGTGCATTTCATTCTGTGTATTTACAACTTTTACATTCACTCTTTTCTTGTTGTTTTTTTTTCTCCAGCCGATAACACGGATCATCACAGGCAGACGTTTTGGCACTAGTTTAGTTTTTCTCCCTCGTTTTACCACACAGACGTTAAAACACAGACACTGTTCAGAAGGACACGGAGGAGACACCAGACAGTCGTTACCCCTCTGGGAAGCTCACACCAACATTTCTCTTTTTTTTTTTAAGCCGTCAGAGGGTTTGAAGAAATGATGTAAAACTCACCGAACAGACGGAAATCTGCTCGTTCTTGTTTTCACACTTTTACCGTTTACTGCGAATGTATGGTGGAGTTTTAGCGACGGGGAGCCGACTGAGGAGCAGGTAGGATGGAATCTGTACAGCATCAGACATGAAGGACAAACAATCAAACAAAACAGACTCGTCCAAGAACTCATTCTGTTCTTCATCTGGTCACATGCTAAATAAAGGACACAAACAAAAAGAGTCACCTGTTCCTATAAAACCTCACAACAGTTTGTTCTGTGAGGAAGAAACGCATCCAATCAGATGTGACTCGGGGCAACTAACCAGCATTATAGATTAAATCAAACTGAAGTCGGATCAAGACGTTGGTAATTTGGAAAGTTTTGTCCTCGCGTCCAGATTTCCAAACTGAGGTGGTTCAACGTCTGATGAGGACGTCTGGGACTTGAAGGTTTTCTCTGACGTTGAGGAGCTCACACATCTTAACGGCTAACATGTGCTACCACGTGTCACAGGATCATCTTTGGACGTTTCCAATTATTTAAATCCTTTAATATTCTATCCTACTCATAAACACGGCACATCACAGGAGACTTCCTTTTTGCTGGGAAACTAACTGAGCATCCTTTAGCGTCGTCGTTTCTTTTGCAATCAGAGAATTTAATGACAAATGCCCAAATTAAATAAATGGAACTCTTTGTCCAAAACTCCTGTTTCTATCTGGGGAACCACGTCTACGCTTCAGAGGAATCATGAAATATAACATATGTGACCAAAGACAGGAGGTCTCCTCTAAACCCGCCGGCCGCTCTCTGCCCTGCAGCAACACATCGCTTCACTTTAGCTGTACAAATGTCAGACGATCTGTTCGCACATATGCAGACAGGAATGTCCCGGCGTGGCGCTCGGAGGCCTTATGTCGGCCCAATGGCAGATGCACGGCTCCTGTTCTGCTCCTTCGGGGGATTTCAATCACAGCAGACGTTTGAAAGTCAGACGATGGCCGAGCTGGACGATGACGGGGTGGAGAAGTCTGAGTTTTGCGGTGTGCACGTACCTCCCTCCAACATTAAGTTCTGTTGTTTTCTGTTGAGTTTGCTGCTGCGAGGGTAAATGGCTGGTCGTGCTTTGTGTCCGTGCATCTGGTTTTTGTTTTTTTTATATCAGAACCCTGTGGCGTTGGCAGGTGTGCGCACGTTGAGCGTGGAGAAGCTTGTTCCCGTTGCCGGAGAGGTGAAGCTGTACGCGGCGTACGCCACAGCGGAGCCGACCATCAGGCCCGTCATGTAGGAGACGGTCATGGTGTTCCCTGCAGAGAGAGACAGACGGAGCGGTGATGGACGGAGGAGGAAACCAGCTCGGTCAGGTGAAACCTCTGCACCACTTTTAGATGTTCTAATGAAACAAAAAACATGTTTCACAGCCTCTGTTGGATGTTTTACTGCTCCATAGTGTTGGATCCTCTGGAGCTAACATTACATGGTGGTCAGTGCTGCACATGAGGTTAATAAGAGCCAAAGCACACGTCAGGAAAGCTCGTATCTCCGATCAGATGAAGAAAAAATCATGCAATATGTCAACAAGATGCTAAAAATGATGATTAGCAATCAGCTCAGGAGCTATAAAATGTCAGAGATCAGCTTGTAAAACAGACAAGTGTCACATGATTTCTCCTCTCTGTATTATTTAGGGTTAGGGTACGGGGTGTTGTTGATTATTTGTCATGAATCAATAGATTTAGAGCTTAATGAGCTATTTTAGGAGCTAGTGTGATTAGGTTCATTCTGTCTACTCTGATTATACACATAAGGTTTTTTTTTATCAGACAATGAGAAACAAATTTCCAGCTCCTAGAAGCCACATCAGTGACTGGAGACAGAAGGACTTTTTAAACAGCTCCTACCTAAAAAATACTCATTGTCTGATAAAAACAGAAACCTCAAACCTACTTTAGGAGCTGCTTCACGTCCACATTTCACAACAGGACAAGAGACAGAGAGGGAAGACGTAAAGCTGTTGAGCTCCTCATCTCTGCACACAGCGATCAGCTCACCTGCCAGCTCCCTCTGCTCGGGGGGCACTTTGCCGGCGGCCTGAATCATCGGCACGGACCCAAAGTACCCGTTGGTGACGCCCATGAGGAGGGAGAAGAGGCAGGGCCAGGCGGGGTGGGACAGGGTGGGCGCGCTGGCCGGGTACACGCACATGACAAACAGAGGGATGAAGACCACCCTGAGGCAGGAGAAGAAGAGCAGGCGGCCTCCTGACCAGTCGTATGGCAGCGCCGCCAGGATCTGGGGAGACAGCGGGGGCATCCAGTGAGCAGAGGAGGGCAAATAAAACACTCCTCCTGAATATCAGGCCCTCCTGCTCAGGGTAAGAAAACCACCACAAATGAGTCAAAATGCAAAAGAAAAATCATTTTCTTCTTTCTCTTATCATGAGTTTTTGTTTCCTCCATTTTCTCTATTTAATTGCTTCTCTCCTTCTCGACCATTTCAACAGTCCAACAGGACAAAGTCAGAGCCGCCAATCCACAAAACAACTGAAGCGACAGATAAGGTTTCATTTCTGAGTATTCACATAAAGCCTTCAGCTGAGTGTAATTACCTAAAAATACACCAGACTTTATCTCCAGCTTCACTCTCGGGTTTAATAAACGAGGCGACAACTCGAACGATTTAAAAAAGGTCAGCTGGTGGTGGTAATGTGTGCTCCTGTGGTACCAGGATGCTCGACGTACAGGTAAAATCCCAGAATCTTGTCATGTAATCATAACACTGATGCACCAGTGAATCCCGTGTATTTTACACTCAAAGGGTTGATTTAGGACGTAAACGTCAGTCCCTCTCAGACGTGATGCTAATGAATGGTTTGCAGAATGAAAACTATCTGATGGAAAAAGATGAACCTCGACCCAGTGGAGCGACTGCAGGTCCACCTTCTTTGTAAAGATGGATGTTCATTATAGATGAGTCTAAAAATGCTCCAGTAAAAGCTTTGCTGAGAAGTGTTATGAATAGATGGACAGACGGATGAACTCCACCAATCACGACTACGGTGAAGGTGGTTCTTGTATTGTGTCGTTAATTTCAGCCTGCTGCATCTCCACCAGTACCTTCAGGTCATCTGAGCTGGAAGCCACCGTTCACTGATGTTCCTACATAAATGAACTTGGTTTAAAAAGCTCACACAGACACAAAAGGTTTGACTGGAAGGAGGGTTTGTTTGGAAGCAAAAATATTTAGCAAAAACACCCGAAGATTCCTCAGATCCACACCGAGGACAAGATAACCGGGTAGCTTCATGAGAAGGTCAGTACTGCTCCTGTATGTTAAATTCCAAACATTATGCATGTGTTGCACCTTTTTCTTTAACGGTCTTGATTTGCATGAATAAAGTTGCAGGAAACATGAACATAGAGCCACGCTCACTTCTATTTAACTCTAAACTACAGCACCCTAAACTATCACTAATCATCATAGTGCTCAGTCAGCTCTTCCTGCTGCCTGCTGAATGCATCGTTCTTGTAGCTCTGCTTTTCATAGCGCCAAGTAGCTGCAACAATAAAACCCAAACAACAAGCAAAAGAAATGTTCATTATAGTCACTCTGAAGCAACACAAGTCCTGCTAAAGACGTGAGCAGTGGCTCCAGTCTATTCACACATCACAGTAAACAAGTCAGTCAGGTGGTAGGAACGCCCACGTAGCTCTGAGAAGAAGCAAAACAACCAGAAACAAGCAGGTGTTACTGTAGCTGCACTAGTTCAGATTTTTACCTGATTGATTCCATTTATGCAGCACCTGGTAATGAAATCTAACGCTTCACAAGGAGAAACCACCTTTTTGAATGCCAACTGGTAAATGTTCCACTTTTTTAAGAGGTGGCCGTGACATTAATCTATACACCATGATGAAGACATGTGAGGTTCTCATTCAACGATGTGAAGCACCTCGAGATGCTGTGAATCGGCCCCATATGACCAAACCTGAATCTACGTGTGCCGTTTCCACTCGTGTTCGTTCATTTTGTTTGTAGTGTCAGAAGCTGGCTGCTGACCTTGCCCACAAAGTCTGACATGTTGAAGGTGGCCATGATGAGGATGGGGAGCCACTCCCCTAAGGTGGGGTTCCGGATCTCCGACTCCAGCCCGGGGAAGAGACACAGAGTGATGCTGTAGGTCACGGCGATGGACAGCATGTAGGCCCAGATGACGCGGGACACCACGTAGCGATGCAAGATCATGTCTGGTTAGAGAAAACACAACCACAGGGCCAAGATTACAAATCTAATGACTCACTGGAGCAGGTCAGATCACTAAGAGGACCCCCCCTCCACCTGGGGATGCATTTACATCTCACATCCATCTGTTAGAGTCAGAGGGTAATTGAGCAGCAAGCACACAAGATTAGAACAGAGAGTACCGCGGACGCCGGGCCAGCTCCTCCGGATTTTGGCTTTCGGGGCGTCGAATCGCACGTAGGTCCCACCGACAAAGTCCTCGATGCCTTCTTCTGTGGAGGACGGTCCCGTCCCCCCGTTTCCCTGCAGAGACACGAACAGACACATCAGAGAGCCTCCGATGAGTTACAGTCCTGCATGAGCCGGATTCACTTCCAGGATGTTCAATGTCAGTTTTTAACAGTTCATTAGGAAAACACTAGAGGTAGCCATCACACAGTAAATAGATGCGTTCTGTGGGACGACCTTTATCGTTACACTGCTCTTATTAATAAGAGCTTCCTGGATGCATGACATCAGCTTTTAATGCCGGCGGCTGATGAGATGATGTCGGGGGGGGG